CCCGAGGAAGGCATTCCATCCTGAACTCCGTACATTCGAGTTGCGGGGACGATGGATTTACGATCCCCCCGAAGCCCGAACTTATCGCCACCCTGTGATTGTCAGGGGCATTCGGTTACTCAGCAAGTGTTCAGTAATAGCATGGGCCGCGAGCCAGAGCCTCCAGCACCGCACGCGCCCTAGGGCCTCAAGGGCGCGTGCGCCGCCGCGGCTCGCTCGCATGGGTGCGTGGGGGCGTGCACCCTTTCACATAATTCGAACGAGAGACGAGATGGAGGGGGAGGGTGGGGGATGGGGAGGGGGATGAGACAGGAGGCGTAAAAGGAGGAGGGGGGATGCGGAGGAGGAGGGAAGACGACCTGGATTATGGCCCAGCGTCTGTGTTCGAGGGCCTCGCCTGCGCCCCGCTGCTCAAAATTGTGGCCGAGGACAGGGCTGCTTGCGACCACAGCTTCGGCATGTTTGTGGCCGTGGGTCTCCCGAGCTTGCGTGCAATTGTGCAGCGGTCCCACCCTGCAGCGCGCGTGGGGTGTGGATTGCACGGGCAAGGCTCAAGACGTTGAAGCGAAGACCAGGTCGGGGAGTCAATCCGCGGCCGTGGCTCGCCGTGGCCAGCAACGCGCCGTTCCTTCTCATTCAGCATGCTTCTATGAAAATGCGATGACCGTAGCCGCATTCCCAGTTGCAGGTGGCCGCGGAGCCCGACGGGGGACTTGCCCAATGGGCGGCACCGTCAGGCCGTAGTTCTGAACGGAACAAGTCGCGGCCGCGGATCCCCTGAGACCCCCCCCCCTCTAAGGGCTCGGGCCACGGGGGCCCGCGGTGGCGATCGATGAGACCTCGTACATTGCCGCATGCGTAGAATGAGACAAACTTACACCGCGCGGACTTCTTCGGTCGGCGCGGGCCCCCTTGGCAGCGCCTCCGGCGCCGCCCCCGGCTCGCTCCGCGCGTCAGGGAAGGAGGGTTCAGTTCAGCCGCCCGGGGCGAGGCGCCCCCGATGGCTGGGGACAAATACTTTCTGGTTTGTCCGCTGAGACATGGTCTGCAGTGGCCGCACCGCCCTTGATGGGGTCCAACGTTCTCGCCCATCTCCTGCAGCTGCGCGCGGGCTGCGCCTGGGTCCATGCCCCGCCGCGATACGGCTTGGGCCGCGGAGTCACTACCCATTGTTGCGCCGCGCGCGCCGCGGGCCGCCGCCGCAAATCGCCATTCGCCGCAGAATCCCTGCAAGTGGGGGCTGCGGCGTCCCGAGCTAGCCCACGGACGGCGATCCACGAGCCCACTTGGCGGCCTGCAGAATAGCATTGGGCCAGTATTGCCACGGACATGACGATACCAAGCAGGAGGAGGAGGAGCAGGAGAAGGAGGTAGAGGAGAACGGTAGAGAAGAATGAGGGATGGGGGCGAGATGAAGGTCGATGGCGCAGAGGAAGAGGAGGGCCATCGAATGTGCGCCTCGCGGTCACTGATCTTTGGCGCAAAGGGGTGGGATTCCTGATGGTGCCTCTCGTGTATACATATGATGTGTCGGTGGCAACCGTGGTCGGTGGCAACCGTGTCGGGACTGGCTACTGGCTCACCACAGCCGTCCCCCATGTCGTCTGCTCGCGCGAAGCCGACGCGTCTTGCAAGGATCGTTGATGCACCATTGCATTTTCCCCGCGGCATGACTCAATCCCCAGGACGGGGTCCTGAGTGAATCGGGCCCTAGTCCCTGGGGCGTTTCCCCAGGACTAGATTCTTCATCCTGAGCCAATTTTTTGCGGGCCCCACCCGTCGGGGGCGTCAGGGAAGCGAAACAGGTGACAAATATCCAGGACCCCGTTCTTTCAGAACCCGTTTCCCTCATGCCGAGTTCGATCGATTATAGGAAGAGTCAATTTGGATTCGCGACGATCTGCATTTGTCATTCTTCCCCCGATGCCCTGAGCTTTCGGGGCACCGGTCTGCTCCTCAAGAGCTTGAGGACAGGCTGGAGCCAAGCTCATCGCGGCTTGTGCCCAGCTTCATACGGAGATAAGATCATTGCCATCGCGTAGTCCCCCCCACCCCCAGCGGTGTAGGCCACTGCATGGAGCGCGGGCGAGGAGGCGCGGAGCGCGGCCGAGGCGTCCCCGCGGCAAGACCGCCTGCCTTCGTTCAGCGGGCAGAAGGGACCGAGAGTGGTCAGGGAGAGCTCAAGCTTGGCGGAAGGGAACTCCCATGCAGTCACTTGGGGTCAGGCGTGGATTGATCCTCCCCCCCCTCCATGCCTCCGCCCCTCTCCCTCCCTCCCTCCTCCTCGTTCCTCCTCGTTCTCCTCCCCGCCCCTTCTCCTTTTCATTCTCCTTCACTTCCCCGTCCCCCGTCCTCCATCGCCTCCCCCTTGTCGTCGTCCTCCTCTTCTTGCAAGCCGCTCCCTCCTCATCGTGCTGCCTCCCTCCTGCCGCACCAGGCCCTGAATGCCCGCCTCGACCGCATGGAGGGGAGTTCCGCCACGTTCAGCGGAGAGGTCGAGGCCTGGGAGCGGACCGCCCCGGGAGACGGGGAGGAGGAGGAGGAGGCAGAGATTTTGGTTCATCCGCGCTGCCATCGCTGACGCTCGTGGTATGTGTGGTACCAGGCACAAGCTGCCTTGAGATTGGGAAGAGATTTCTGCCATGAAGACGAGGCATCTATGGATGACAAATTGCAAAAGCCTGGAACAGCATTTGAATGCGTCAATGATGGCAAAGTGGAAGATAAACGCTTGAGTATTTTTAGTAGCTTACGTTAGGATCTATGGACTCGTGGACAAGAGGAGGTTGAGATCTTGCATCCTAGGTTTTTCTGCGAAAAGATACGGCGGACCGATGCCACCACTATGGCAGCGGATTGTTTCGCAAAGGCTATGCCCAGTGATTTCTTAGTTGACATATTACGTACAGGAAGTTCTGATGTAACGCCAGACCCAGAGCCGACGATTCAGAGAGTACAGACACAGCTGGCGAGGGCCAGACCGAACACTACCATAGCTGATAAGTAATATCCGTAATGCGCACTATCCCGACATGGGAAGTGACGGCACTATGAGCACTACTCCGACATGGGGAAGTGACAGCATTGAGTAAGCGCCATCCTATTTGGGAGGCTATATGTCGCCTTTGATCCGTTCCCGCTCGGGGACGCCTTTGCCGCGTCCTGCTGCCCCATGACGGCCTGCGAGCGTGTGGGCGCCATGCGCCGCGCCCAGCCGGTCATCTCGTGACAAAGTTACACGGATGTGATCTAGTGTGTGTGTGTATGCACGGTACGTACGCCACTCGTTGCCGTTTGACCCTCGAAGGGCCTTTTTGCCAAGGCGCGAAACACATGAAATATTACACGTACATTTCGAAGTAGCCGTTTGAATAACAAGATCAACAGTAGAAACACGAATCAAAGTAATGGTAGTCGTGGTCGTGGCGGCGGTAGCAGTAGCAATCGCGGTGGTAGTCGTAGTGATAGCAGTACGGCACACCTACGAACAAATGCTACACATTCACAACACGTATACGAGACACATACGACACGTACCCGACGTGTATACACAACCGTGCGAAATCTATACGAACGTATACAACACATGCACATATGTCTGTGGAGTTCATTTCGGAACGTGCAGGCACACCTGTACGTAAGATATACACACCATACCAGAAACATACGGCACATGCACCGCACATTCTTACAACGCGCACGCGCAACATATACGACAATTCTACGAAGCGCATACAACAACCTGACAGCACGGATACAAACGTTTGAGCAACATGTGCGTCATACGTACACAGGATCTATACGACACGGACACACACACGGTAGAAGAACGATACGCATGTGATGCGTATGCGCGGGCGCACGCGCATTATATACACATAGTAGTCGTGTTCGTCGTTGTCGTCGCTTTGGTCGTTGCATTGTTCATGGTGCAAGTAGCTTTAGAAGAGGAAGTCGCCGTCGTACTCGTAGTCGTAGTAGTGAGAGTAGTTGTAGCAGTAGTAATAGGAGTGGTCGTAGTAGTGGTAGCAGTAGTAGTAGCCGTAGTGCCTTTTTTAATAGTAGTAGTAGTAGTAGTAGTAGCAGTAGTTTGTAGAAGCGACAGCAGCTATGATAGCAATAGTAGTCGTAGTAGGTGTCGCAGTAGTGGTGGTAGCAGTAGTAGTAGAGGCTTCGTAGCAATAGTATTCATAGTCGCGGTACTTGTAGTAGTGGTGGTCGTGGTCGTGGTAGTGGTAAACGTAATACGGGCCGTAGTCCCAGTAGTAGTCGTAGTAGTAGTAGTTGTTGTAATAGTATTAGTAGCCGTGGTAGTAGTAGCAATAGTAGAAGAAGTAGAAGTGATAGCACCAGTAGTCGTAACAGTAAGCGTACGAGCGGGAATCGGCATAGACGTTTAAGGCTTAGTGGTTGTATGAGCATTTTAGTAATGGAGTTGGTAATAGCAGTAACCGTAATCGCAGTAGTACTGGATGTAGCAGTCGAAGAAATACGAACGACGGTAACAATAATCAAAGCAGTGGTGGTCGTGGTGGTGGTAATAGTAGCAAGTGCGGTAGTAGTAGTAGTAGTGGCAACAACAGCACGGCACATTTAGGAAACACATGCGAACATCATACGAAACACGTGTACGAGACACACACGAAACATATTCGGCGCGTTCATTTTACAAAAAGGTAAAGTCAGACAGCACGTGTGCAGAAATGCGTGGGCGAACGTATAGGACACGTATATGAAACACACGAATCGTTTACAACACGCATATGGACTTGTACGTAATATATGCACATCATATCCGGAGCGTATACGACATTCATACCGCATATGCAGACAATGCGTACGCGCATAATATACGACGCCTATACGAAAGGAAATCAACAGGCATACGGCACTTATACAGAACTTGTAAACCACACGTCCACAGCACGCCATATGAAACGTGCACGACACGGGTACGCACAGAACTCGAAGTTCGTTGTCGCCGTCGTGGTCGCCGTTGTTGTGGTACTCGTACAGGTAGGTTCAGAGGAAGGAATACTAGTAACCGTAGTAGAAGTAGTAGCAGCGATAGTAGTTGCAGCAGTAGTAGTAGCAGTAGTAGCAGTAGTAGCAATAGACATATTAGTAGCAGTAGTAGTCGCAGTAGTCGTAGTAGTAGTAGTAGTGGTGGTGGTAGTAGTAGTAGTAGTAGTAGTAGTCGTAGTAGTAGTAGTAGTAGTAGTAGGTAGTAGTGGTAGCAGTAGCAGTCGTAGTAGTGGTAGTAGTAGTAGTAGTAGTAGTAATAATAGTAGTAGTAGTAGTAGTAGTAGTAGTAGTTGTTGTCGTCGTAGCAGTAGCAGTAGTAGTATTTGTAATCGCCGTAGTCGCAGTAGAAGTCGTAATAGTAGCAGTAGCCGTAGTAGAAGGAATAGTATTAGTATTTGTAATAGTAATAGTAGCAGTAGTAGTAGTACCAGTAATCGTCGTAGTTGTGGTCGTAGTAGTAGTAGTAGTAGTAGTAGTAGTAGTAGTAGTCGTGCTCGTAGTAGTAGTAGTAGTAGTGGTCGTAGTAGTAGTAGTAGTAGTAGTAGTAGTAGTAGTAGTAGTAGTAGTAGTAGTAGTGTCAGCAGTGGTAGTAGGTAGTATGCGTGCTATTAATATTGGCCGTAGCGACTGTCTAGCGGTTGTGGTAGCAGTTCTATTAGGGGTAGTAGTAGTAGTAGCAGTCGTCGTGGTAGTAGTGGTATTAGTAGTAGTAGTAGAGCTAGTCGTAGTAGTAATAGCCGTACTAGTAGTAGGGGTTTGTGTTGTAGTAGTGGTACTGCGTTTAGAAGTAGTAGACGCAGCAGCAGCCGCCGCAGTAGTAGCCACCGCAGTAGCAGCACTACTAGTAGTAATAGTAGGAGTGGTGGTAGTAGTAGTAATAGTAGTAGTAGTACTAGCAGTAGTAGTAGTAGTAGTAGTAGTAGTAGTAGTAGCAGTAGTAGTAGTAGTATCAGTAGTAGTAGTAGTAGTAGTAGTAGTAGCAGTAGTAGTAGTAGTAGTAGTAGTAGTAGTAGTACTAGTAGAAGTAGCCGTAGTCGTAGGCGTAGTCGTAGTACTAGTAGTAGTGGCCTTAGTAGTAGTAGCAGTAGTAGTAGTAGTAGTGGTAGTAGTAGTCGTAGTAGTAGTAGTAGTAATAGTAGTAGTACGACGATGAGGCGGACACGTAGCAGCCGTAGTTTCAGCAGTAGTAGTAGTCGTATTATTAGTGTGAGGAGGGTCGTTGTCGTATTCGTACCATCTTATGAACAGGAACAGCCGTAGTCAGAACAGTAGTAGCCGTTTGAGTAATACGCTTAGTCGTGATAATGATCGTAGTAGTAGTAGTAGTAGTAGTAGCCGTCGTAGTGTTAATCGTAGGCGTAGAACTTGAAGTAGTAGTAGTGGTGGTAGTACTACTACAGATAGTAATGGCAGCGGTAGTGCTAGCACTTGTCGTAACAGGAATCGTAGCAGTAGTTGTGGCAGCCATAGTAGTAGTAGTCGTAGTAGTAGTAGTCGTAGTAGTAGTAGTAGTAGTAGTAGTAGTAGTGGTCGTCGGCGTAGTAGTAGTAGTAGTAGTAGTAGTCGTAGTGGTAGTCGTAGTAGTAGTAGTAGTAACAGTGGCCACTGTAGTGTAGTAGTAGTAGTAGTAGTAGTAGTGGTAGTCGTAGTAGTAGTAGTAGTAGTCTTAGTCGTAGTAGTAGTAGTAGTAGTAGTAGTAGTAGTAGTAGTCGTAGTCGTAGTAGTCGTAATAGTAGTAATAGTAGTAGTACTCGCAGTAGCGGCAGTAGTAGTAGTAGTAGTAGTAGTAGTAGTAGTAGTAGTAGTAGTAGCAGTAGTAGTAGTAGTAGTAGTAGTCGAAGTAATCGTAGAAGTAATCGTAGTCGTGGTCGTAGTCGTAGTCGTAGTCCTACTCGCCGCCGTAGTTGTACTAGTCGCAGGGTTCCGAGAGGGCTCCAAGGGGCAAAGATCGCCCCAGTTTCTTGAATAAGAGCAGATGTTTAGATTGTTTGCCTCATCAGCCCTAACAGCGACCAAGAGGCTTTACATCTCGCCCAGGGACGGGGCGAGAGGCCCCCGAGGTGGCCCGACGATGGCTCCAAAACGGCCCAACTGGCGCCCAAGAGTACCCAACGACCCCCAAGCCTTCCACACATCATCATCACCACCACATCGTCATCGTGACCACCCTCATCCTTTATCATAGTTCCCCTCGTCCACCTCCTCTTTATTGCCCCCAATTTCCTCCAGCCTCTCCTCCTCATCAAGCCTCATCCTCATCTTCTCCTCCTGCTGCGGCTCCTCTTCCTCATCCTTATCGTTGTCTTCCTCCTCCTCCTCTTCCCCCGCCACCCCCTCATCCTCATCGTGGTTATTATCATTATCCTGCACCTCCTCCCATCATGTTGCTCCTCCTCGTCGTTTTCATATCCTCGTTCTCTTCTCCATCCCGCTCGTTCCCCTCGTCCTCGTTAATAGTCCTCTTCATCATCACCC